GCTCTGGGTGGGTTTGGCCTCTATCTCAATAGAGACCCAGGCTTGCTTAACACCAACAGGTCTCACGGCCATTTTTCTTGCCAAGTGTCTGCCATGTAGTGTCTGCACAGTTGTCAGAGCCAGAAGGGACATGAGAGGACATCTACCCTCGCCCTTGTTTAACTCATGAGGAAGCTGAGGCCCAGAGAGGAGATGTGTGGAGCTCACATCAGTTAGAGCTATAAGCAAGTCTTGTGACTCTGGGTCCAGTGCCCCTTCCTGGACCAGTGAGTGGGGGTGGGGATGCTGCCTGGGAGTCCAGAAGTAGCCCATCACCCCCTTAGCACAGAGTATCCCTTCAGCCACCACCCCAAAGTCCATAGCTGTCCTGGACACACTTGCTGCCCCACCGTCCCCTTTACATTTGCTCATTTACTCTGTTGTTAGTAGAGAAATTACTTTGCCAGGGCAGTAATTGCACCAGGAAATTTTTTTCTCCCCAAGAGCAAGGCTAGACATTGCTGATCTTGTGGTGTTGAGCCTACAGGTGGTGGTATTTAAGTCACCTGCCACTTGAAGAAGTTTCTCTCACCGGTTCTGTTCCTCTGATGTCGGTGTACTTTGCTTTACCCGTGGGGCACCCAGATAAGGTCCTCTCTATTCCTGTACTGTTACCAGAGTGATGAATAGTCAGGCCCGCGGTGACTCGTGCAGACCAGATCTTTATGTCATTATGGCTCATTAAGGTATTGACATTGATGTTCCTGAGAAACATTCCTCAGCCAGGACTCCTCGAGCACCTGACTGGCCCCAGCCTCCCCCTTCACCTCTCCTTGGACCTGGGGCAGGTAAGAAGAGGCCCTGGTTCCATTTCTTAAAGGTACAGGGAATCAGGCTTCAAGAGAAGGAGGCAAAGACCGCCCAGGAGCAAGGGGCTGGGAACTCCCAGGCATCACCTGTCCTTACTACCAACACTCCACCCTCTCTGAGTCTCCTGGTGGAGAAGCCAACAGAGCAGCTCTCTGTTCTGTCCTGGGCCCTCGAGACCAGCAGAGGGGCTCACATTCTGGGTTCACATCCCAAATTCACCACTGATTGGTTGTGTGCCTTGGGCATGGTATTCTAATCGCTCTTTTACAGTCGGAAAATCAGGTGTGGAGATAAGCACTTTGCTTTCCTTGTAGGGTAGTTGCGAGCTTTAAACTCAGTCAATAAGGCACACAATAAACTCTCCAGCGCATAATACCATCCTCACCCAAGTGAGAGCCGAACCTGTGATATTGATTGTGAGTTACAGAGAATGGTATGGAACCAGAAGACAAAGCTGTTTTTCCGTTCTCTCTCTCCTAGAAGGTTGTGATTGAGCAAACATCGAAAAATATAAAGGTAGCGTCCTGGCCCTGACGAGGCGAGCCTGGGAGCCTAAGACAGCTTGGAGGCCTCTCAGTCCCTGTCCTTGTTTGTAACGTGGGGAAATGACAGCTGCCTCCAGTGGGATCACCAGTGCTCACTGGACGCTGCCTTTCTCTTCTCTCCCCTCATCCCTTTAGAGTCCTCGTGCCCCAGCGGACAGCGGGCACTGACTCTGGCCCGAGGAACGGTGACTTAGTTCTTGGAGAGGAGCAGAGCAGTTAAGGCCTGTGGTCCTTCATTACCTTGCCAGGCCCTCCCGGATGGAAGGATGCAAAGTTGCCTCTCCTCTGCCCTTAGGGTCAAATTGATTTGCTGACTGTTTTGAAAGCAGCTGGGCCTCCTCTGTGGGTCTCCCCAGACAATGAGACCAGAACCTTAGGTGCAGAAGCCTCTTGTATGCCAGGCGGCCATAGGGGGTGACCTGTGCTTCCCACCCTCCCCCTCACTTGGGCAGGAGGAAGCTACAGAATAAAGGCCTGGGTGCTCTTATCCTGTGATTCAGGGCAAAACCCTGTACCTGGGCAGCTCTTCCTCCTGCATTTGCAGGTGACTGGCGTTAACCTCAGCCCCTACCTGGACCTGAGGATACACTGAATCCGAGAGCAGGTGCTCCAGCACTGAGACGCTGAGAGCCATTCCTAGCCTGGGGTGACTGTAATCAGTCAGCAGTCACTGAGCACCTACTGTGTGCTGGGCAGTGAGGATGCAAAAACGAAAAGACTTTTAGGGATGGACAGGCTTGTAAGCATGTGGTAGAAACACAAACGGGGCCCTGAGCCTTGGGCCTGTAAGGCAGCTCTTCCTGGGGGAAATGTGTTCCTGACAAATGGGAGAAAAGCTCAGCCTTTGGGGGAAGTGGTAAGAGGAGACTGGGTGGGCAGGGGACACATGGAGAATGGCTTTAGAGCTATAGGTTTCCTTCTAAAGGCAATTGGAGAATTCTCCAGAGAATCCTGAGTAGAGAGTGACATAATCACATGGACAGGTAGAAAGGATCGCTTGGTGGCTGGGTGGGTGAGTGAGAGAGCAGTTATCTGGAGAGGGGCTGCCCTGAGAAACCTGTACTAGCTCACTGGACATGGAGGGTGGGTTAGTAGTGAGGTTAGTAAGGAATGTAGGGTAGGGGAGAATAGGGGGAGATTTGGGGGGGAGGGGGGAGAGGATTTGGAGTCTGGCTGGGATTAGTGGATCTATGGGCAGACCACCCGACTCTGCCCCATCAAGTGGTGCCAACACTGGGGATGGGGGTGACAGGGTAGAGCAGAGTGTCCGGGAGGGCTGGAGGGGTGCTGAGCACCCCTGAGCACAGCCACAGTTTGTGCAGGCTGCTCAGCAAGTGATTTAAAGCTGAAGGGTGCACACCAGCTTGCAGATAGTTGGATAAACCCAAACTGCTGCCTTTGCGTGCCAGGGGAGCCGAGAGAGCTCCCCAAAAGAGCAAGAAGGGGGTTGGGAAAATGGCATGGTAGGGTGCGGCCCACCTATCTCTGCTAAACACTTCCATCCACTAAACACTGCTGTCCCTCTTTCCCCTTCCTCCACCCCCACTCACTGCCTCTGCCACGATCCCAAAAGCTTCTGTGCCGAGAGTGGATTGCCAGCAAGAAAGGAGGGGGGGGG